TAAAAGTATCGTACTGAAAAATTGGAAATGTGATATTATTCCAGAAGTTAAGGAATGGTTGTCAAAAATGTGTGATCTGTTTTGGAAAAGACAATATTTTCTACTAATGCAGCAATATGTGTTACTGTGGCAAAAATTTTATGATATTTTACAATAATATTTTATAGTGATTATATTAATGTTTTTATTAGTAAATGAGTGACTTTTGTTAAGAATAAAATGTAAGGTAATTTTTTTATTTTCATTCTTAGTTTGTATGGGGTTGTTTTCTATTTTATTCTTTTTTTGTTTTGGTTTCTATTAATTTTTTTCTTTAAGTTTAAAGACTTTTGTTAACAGTGCATGTTAAGCATGTTATTTTTTTAAATTACATAATATAGATTGCATTACATAGCTTAAATCTAGTGCAAATGAAACTGGATTTAAAAGAGCAGCCCATCATTCAAGAGGCATTTGATTTCATAACAGAAACATTAACTCATACATTACACAAACCTACGTTTACACAAATCAAGAAAGAGTTCTTCTATTCCTTTGTTCTGTTTGGCAGATGTATGATAGTGTTTTGCTCCCACTGATTCTGCATACCTGCAAGAAAAAAATGTCTTATCTTCTGATTAAACATTGCAATTGTATGCTTTTCTATGTTGTAAGCAAATTATACAGACTGTGTAAATTTTAATACATCTAATGCACAGACAAAAATATCCCACTCCCCTTTCCCCCCTCTAATATTGTTGCTGAATCGTACTTACATCTGGTCATTGACCATAATAAATGATTTGGATCTGGATACAGACTATGTAAATTTTAATACATCTAATGCACAGACAAAATGGATGTAAAATAATTGTAAGTGCTATGGCTGAAATTAATGAACATGGAGAATATTTATTGCATTTACTTCCCCTTTTCCAATATTTGTTCAAGGTTGCCAAAACATAAAGAAAAATATATAAATAACAAAATACATAACAAGGCAGGTAAGAACATGTCAATAAAAAAAGAAACATAAAAACTACAATCAACTGAACAAACTACACAAAATTATTTGACTTTTTAAATCGTTTAGAAGTGGTTTTCCCTATGGGTGTAAGACTAAAGAAAAGGATAGATGAACTTCTTGTGGCAAAGAGCTCTAGAGATGAAGAGCAACTATACCTGTTTAAGATTTAGATGCAAAGAATCATTATATTATAGGGTTCAATGTATAGAGCATCAAAAGCTAGACAGCCAACACATCCTGAACAGATCTAATTACCTGATTATAATAAATTGATAGGATCTTAATACAGCCAGTCCCTGATAACTTTAACAATCTTTTCCAAGAATTACGTATTTTCTCATAGCTAGGAAATATAAGTAACAGCAGAATTGAGGCAGAAAAGGTAGATTTTAAGTTACACTATTTGCATAGAATGTTTTAATACTTTATCATTTAAATGTGTATTCAGGTAGTCCTCATTTAGCAACCACAATTGGGACTGGCAACTCGGTCGATAGACAAAGTGGTCACTAAGTGAAAAATCATGTGACCATGACTGTGCTTACAATTTTACTTCAGCTTTCCTTTGCTTTACAGCGTCAGAAGGACACAACTCCAAACAGCCAGATGAGCCCAAATGGCAGGGAAGGTTTCTAGAACTTGACTCAGGAGGAAGCCTGGCAAAACGGCAATCCTTATAGCCCCTTTTGCCCATACCCCCATTCTCTCGAATGCTCACCCCGGCGCTGGGATAATTAGCAAGAAGAGAATTGATGTTTGTATTTACATTCTTTGGAGAGGAAGAGACCACAAGAGAATAAGCAGGCACACAATGGTGAATACACATAAAAAAGAATGCGCTAGTGCCAGCTGTTTGCCTAGCAAGCCACTTAGGAGGCAAACTAAAGCCTTTAGTATGAAACTAATTAGAGTCTTGTCAATTTCAGGCAGCAGCTGCAAGCTGTCCAACATTCTAATCAACTAAGGTCACAAAGGAGCTTGTTAACTTGTGGTTAGCACTTTTTAGGGACAGGCTGTGCTGCAGAGAAAAGCAACTCAGGAATAGATCACTTGTTTAGGCCATCTCTCCAATCTCTGGGGGGTGGGGAGAAGAAAAAAATTGGGTCAGGCACAGAACAACACATACTAACTGTTCTTAATGGCAAACACGTGAGTGAGAGAGAGATGCTGAGAAGTTTGTAAATGCGGACATTGTTCACAAAGTTACTTTTTGATCACCGTCGTAACTGCGAGTGGTCACTGTCCACGGCAGTCACTAAATGAGGACTACCTGTATATGCTATATATAAGTGATGGCATCTTCAAAGTAGTATTGAAATTAAGAACCATAAACTTACGATTCTGCTTCTTGAATAGACACATGTCTTTCCTTCTCCAAATCTATCTTGTTACCTGTCAGGAATTCAGATTTCCTTAATATCCAAAATAAATCAGAAAGACACAATCTGCTCAACATCAACAATATGTTTCTAACCAGCCTCTAGTTTTCATTGTTTCCAGACATGAGGGGCATTTACTCTTCTACCTCTGTATCCATTCAGGTATCCAGAATTAATTACCAAACTCAACTTCACATTGCCAAGACTATGAGTTAGGCACCAGGAATAGAGCGCAACATGCTGGGACATTTTTGCAATTCTTCACAATGAAGGCATTAAATAGCATGATAGCATCCTGCTCCATCCTGCAATCCTTGGCCAATCTCTAAAAAACATGGTCACTTGTGCAACTGCACAGGAAGCTGTGGTTATTTCAAACAAATAATTTGTAGCTAAACTTAATTTAAAAGCGACAATAAAGCACTTCACAAAACGGCAAGTAACATGTATAATTCTAATTGAGGAAACCTTTCCATTTTGTTTCTAAAGCAGTTTTATATTAGTTTGTTCACAGAGAAGTATCTAGTCTAGAACTTCATGGACTATGAACTCTAATTAGGGTTAAAACACATTCAGAAATGTCTCTTCTCAAGAAAACTTTCTCATATTCTTGCTACTGCCACTTTGCTTTCTGCTTTTCCTTCTATGTACTTTTACAATCCTCAGGTATTATTTCTCTTACTGAACACAACCAGTACCAAAATTAAGAGAGCTTTTAAAAAGCACCCATAAGTTTTGAACCATCACTTAAGTGCAAATTTCCACTTAAACTGAACAAGATTTCTTAGTTATTCAAATAAGATATAAAAGCCCAAATCTTACCAACTATGCATAGGCAAATTTCATTCCCCAACATTTTTCTTAATTCCTTTACCCAGTTTTTTACCTATGAAAGTGAAAAGAAAATTTATTTCAGTATTACAATAAACTCTACATTTTTAAAAAAGATACTTTAAAATTTTCTAATATTTAACATCAGAAATCCCAGTCTCTCTTAACTGTCTTCATACAAGCTGCAATCCTGTAACTGCTTTCTTGGAACTAAGTCCTATTGAATTTAATGGACCTTACTTCTGATTGTATATTACAATGGTTCCAGATCAATTATATCCACATAAGCCTACCTCTATTTGTAAAATGGGACTTCCTTTGCACCTCTTCTCCACTGCAATCTTCAGCATGCATTTAGAATCATGCAGTGAGATCCAGGGACACTACTTCACTGGTTAATGCTATTCCACCAGGACACAGGCCCAACTAGATACCCCTTTTTATTCAACCTGTCTACAGTATAATTAAGTTTACCCACCAGCTTATTTCTAAAACAGAAGAGTGAAATTTAATTTGAAAAAAAAAATCTGTGGATGCTTATTTCTTGCATGGAAATAGCATAGTTACCTTCTGAAAAGAATCTTCATCTGTTATATCATAAACTAAAATAGCTCCATTAGAGTCTCTGTAGTAAATAGGACCTAGTGCATGAAACCTCTCTTGTCCTGCTGTATCCTGTATGGTACAAAAAGATTGATCTCATTTAATCTACTCACATAATAAATTATTTTGCTACTTGATAGTTTGCTAAGTAAAGTTTGATATTTAAATGCAGTATCATAGCTATGTGATTAGCACTTACCCATATTGCAAGGTTTACTCTTTTTCCTCCAATATTTAGCTTCTTTGTTAGAAAAGATGCCTACAAGTAGAAAAAGACCCATAAAATTAATGCCCAGGTTTTGCTGATTCATACTAAGTATATATTTCAATGAGTTTTGTAAACTGCCCAGTTGCTCTGCAGTGAAATATACATACATAAAGAAAAAGTATAAAGAAATAAATATAAAAAAACAAGCACCTAAGGTTTTCTTATTTAACTTAAATAAAGATATAATTGGTATATGGATGTGGTAAAAGAAAGGATGGTCAGCAAGGATAAAAATAATATGGAAATGTGAATGGTGGTGTTAAACTAGATTTACCTACATTTTCTCTTATTTCATAAGATTTCATCAATTCCTTTATTTTTTTATGACTTTTTAGTCCTTTTCTTCACTTTGCATAATGTCGTTACACTAAAGGCAACAGAGGGGTATGTTGGAATGAAGGTCTGGAGTGAAAAATACATGATTTAGAAAAAGTGATGCTTCTTCCATTTATCCAATAAAAAGTATAGAAAAGTATGAAATGTATACTGAGTTTAAAATTTAAAAAGTTTTGTTTTAAAATGACTAAATGCTATTTCACACACATTTTAAAGTATTATTTCACCTGCACTAATCCCACAAAACTTCTAATAACTAGGCAATTAAATTTTCTGTCTTTAACAAAATTGTTGGCTAGCTCAGAGACACTTCAAGAATTTCAAACACTCCGAAAGAACTATTATTGTTCATAATGATGTTATAGACTCTTTAGTTTGTTCTATTTCATATACTTTAAAATAATGGAGAAGAAATAAAGACTAGCTAATAAGACCTTTCTTTCAATGAAGAGTAGGGTTGTGCTGCTCAGACTCAGACTCCAAAAGATGCCTTGAAGTATGCAGGAATGCAAACAAAACACTATCTGTAGCACCTTAAAACATTTGCACCCTTTCCTAAGATTGCACAGCTGCCCTCACAGCTCCCACACAATTTCACACAAAGATGTAGCTGCTTTAAGGTGTTGCAGAGAAGTGCTGTTTATATTCCAAATAACATTTTGGAGATCAAATCTAAGATTTTGCAGAACCCTAATGGACAGATGCTTCTTCATCTTTTTATTCCCACTGTAAATTCCAACATACAGTGGTACCTCGGGATACGAACGCCTCTACTAACGAACTTTTCAGGTTACGACAAGCTCCAGCCGCAAAAATTTATCTTGATGTGCGAACTCCGCCTCGGGGTACGGCCATTTTTCCGCCCTGACACGTGGTCCGCGGCCATTTTTCCGCCCGACACGTGGTCCACGGCCATTTTCCCGCCGCACGGCACGGCGCCTGGCCGTTCTCCTGCCGCGCGGCGCCCGGCCGTTTTCCCACCCCTGACGAGCGGCACCAGGGCGACAGAACCAAATAAAGGTAATCACATTGGAACAT